AGTAGTACAGTAGTAGTTCCAATGTTTCCTCTACACAGCTCACAGTTTATCCTCTAAGAGATATCACATTAATAGCACAGCATCATGTCACTCTTGTGTAGCATCAGTTTTAAGTGATTTTATTTTTGTGATTTTCCAGGCTCTCGTGAGGTGTCAATCATCGAGCGTGGTCTGCAGTCCTTCCACGATTTCTCTTGTATCCGCTTTGTCAGACGCAGCAATCAGAGAGACTACCTGAACATCCAGTCCTTAAATGGGTAAAGATGTGTGACAGCAGGTGTAGAAAACACTTTGCATGTCATCCTGATTTGTTCTAGTTGCTTGTTTTCCTTTAGCAACCCTACCTTTTAGAAATTATGTAGTACTAAATTGTTGTCCAAGTTTTAAAAGTGGCCTAATTTCTAGAGGACAGGTTTTTCTGTAGTAGGTAGCTTTTTATAAAAAGTTCTCATTTATTTAATCTCTTGAGGTATTGTTCTGAACTGTCATAGGTGCTACTCCTACATTGGCAATCTTAAAAACGGGCAGGATCTGTCCCTGTCGCGCTCAGGCTGCGTTTACCACCACACTGTCCAGCATGAGGTGCTCCACGCCCTGGGCTTCCACCATGAGCAGAAACGCTCTGACCGTGACCAGTACATCCGCATCGTGCTGGAGAACGTCACCCCTGGTTCGTGATTTAATAACTGAACAGTCATAACTGCATAACGGCATAAATTTTGATTTTCACTTTATTTAATGGATGAATTGAAGGATGAAATGACTTACAGGAGATGGATAAGAAGATATTAAACTAAAACGCTTGTTTTCTAGTTTTCTAGTTTTCTGGAAGCTAGGTGAGAAGATTGATGCCACTCTCATGTCTGTCTATGAAGCTATCAGCCTGTTAGCTTACCGCACAGTCTGGAAACAGGTTGCTCAAACAGAGTCAGGGTGCTGCTATTGTACATGTTGGCACACTGGAAAGACTCTGCTACACTAATTGGAATGGAACCTTAATTAGTAACACCTGTGTTTACCCTAGTATTTCATGTTAAAGCAGCTGCTGTGAAAAAAGGTCTTTTAACACGCTACAGCCTGCTTTAAAAACCAAAGTTATGAATCCTGTAGCCAAGAAATAATCTTACAAACCCAATAAAACCATCTGCAAGGACGCAAATAAGGAAGCAAATGTAGGTAAAGTGTTCCTTTAACAACAATATATGTAACCACAACCATAGATAGGCAGGATTAAGCTCTAGGTACCACTTAATAAGGGAATATTGAACACAAACACAGATGGATCTCATGGTAATTCTGTTTTCTTTTCAAATCTTTAGGAATGGAGCACAACTTTGACAAAATCAATACTCTGAACCAGGGAACCGCCTACGACTACGGCTCTGTTATGCATTATCACCAGTAGGTTGATGTGTGGGGACTGTGGCTGTTGTGTTGGAGAATATTTAAAAAATGCAAAGGGCAGGGTTGGTGGGGGTGTGTTGTTTCAGGTACTGGTGAGACAATTAAATTTGATCCAGGAAGTCCAATTTGAGTAAGAGAGTAATGCATATAACTGTGCAGTGGTTTATAACACTATGAGAAGGGATTTTAAAACTCTGGAAAATTATCATGGTCACAATTTATTGAGAGTAAAATCTACCAGAAAGGTTTTTGGTTGGCCATCACAGTGCCTTCCCAGATGATATCACAGTCTGGCAAAAATGGAGCCAGGTTAAACTTTTTTCATTCAAATGAATAAGAAGGCTGGAGTCTGATCGTGGCCTTAGAGATGAACACAGCAGGTGTTATGAGTGAATACTGAGGGGATGTACATCAACTATTGATGAGGCAAAAGACAAGGCTGTCTTCTCTCATCTACCTACTTTTAAAAATGACTCCCCCACTTATGTAAAAATGTAGGATTTTTTACTAAAATGTCAGGAATAGCTTATTTTTTCCTTCAATTATCTGTCACATTTATCACTATTTATTATGATAATTGTGTATGAATAATTATTTATCGTTATTGTGATAAACAGTAGTGTAATTATTATAAGATATATTATATAATTATTATAAGAAAATGGGCTGCACACTGGGCACCATTACACTTTAAATTGAATAGATAGATTAGCTTTAAAATGAAAATATTAAGCAAACACATCAATTTTAAGTACAAAACTCATCAACGTTTTGCTTTTCGTGGTTGCAGATATGCTTTCTCTAAGAACAACCGGCCCACCTTGGTGGCCATCCCTGACTCCAGTGTTGAATTTGGCCTGGCCTCTGAGATGAGCCAGATGGACATCATCAGGCTCAACAAGCTGTACAAATGCTGAACAGGTCATTAACTATCACAACACGTCCTTTTAACCACAGCAACACATTCTCAAATATATTTCTTTACGTTGATCTATTAATCATCTATAACGTTCTCTTTTTAAACAGGTGTGAATGAGGCCCTGCATACTTCAGAAAGAGAATCATCATCATCATATCTTCATTCAGTCACTGGGTTGACAACAAATTCAGTTTGAATGAATCAACATCAATAAATCTGCATTTAAACATACAGTTTCTTTGAGTTTTACTCTCATTTTCCTGTGTACTTGCTTTCTTATCTATGCTTTCTATCAGCCTCTCACACACACTGCAGAAGCTCTCAGCATCTGCTCGCCTTCACCTACAGGAATGAATAGAAGATTCTATATTAATGAATCATAAGGTAATGATAAGTTAATGAATATCTGTCAATCAATCATACTGACCACTTTCTTCATGAGTCGTTCCTGATTAACTCAAACTGATTAACTTCACCGTCACATAAAAAGAAACAGTGTCCCTTTTGACTGCATTTGAGCACAGTACATCAGTGTAACAGAGTCAAGTGCCTGATCTGGGATGTTAATGGAGCAGGTCTCTGTAAAGATGTGGGTACAACAATGTCTGGTTTCCTGTTGTCTGGCCAGCCTGAGTCCCATTTCATCATCATTAGCCAGGAGCAGCCTAGCTCGGCCAGCATGGTTTCTATCCCAGCTCTCTTCCTCTCTGTGTAATTCAAACTCCACGCTTCCTTTTCTGATGACCGTAGGCTATTTCTGTCATAGGTTATAGTGTTTCAGCAATAAAGCCAAAACAGAGTCAAAATCTCCTGGTCCAGTCGATTTGAACAATTTTGGCTTAGCCCTTTGAAATTAAATTCCTTTAGATTATCATCATGTTTCAGAAGTAAAGCTAAAGAAAATGACATATTAAAATATAAATGTACATTTAATACTATACAGCGAGCCCTGGCAGTCCCAGTGTCTTGTAAAATGTGAATTAAATTAATCACTTTGTGTTTATAATTATATATATATATATATATATTATAATTTCCCAGAAAATAAAGAGTATAATTTCCCTCATGGCATACTCCATGGACTCCTTTGGGAAACAGAATTATGGGAATAACCATCTGGCATCAAGGTGAAATAGTCTTATCTGTTGCAACGTGTTTATTTATATCGCCAATCATTTTCTACCCAGTGGACATAAGAACAGCTCTTATCCAAAGCTGCTCACAACCACTGACCTGACTTTCTGTTGAGCATTTTGGTGTGAGTGTTTTTAACGTTTTTAACGGTTTTCAGAAGACATGGCTGGTCTGAGGTGCATTCTGGGTCTTCTGGCTCTGATGGTGGTTTCCATCACAGCTGATGAGAATAAGGTGAGTTTTGGAGTCTGTTCAATATTTAATAAAATTTTTTGCTAGCACATTTTATTCATTTATTGATGATTTTAAAAAAGTTTAGGGTTATCAAATACACCAAAATCAACAAGGAAATTAAAGAAGGAAAATAAAAACATAAACTGTATCCCAAGTGTATAAAATGTGAGTTGTACAATCTGCTTCTCTCCATCTGCATCTCCTTCTTTATCAGTGTCGTTTGAATTTAATAAGTTAAATCAGTGAGTAATAAATGTTTAATTCGTGAATTTGCCTCATCAGTGAATTTCTAATAATAACTTAATAATAATAATACTAACTAACTAAAGCAAATCAAAACAGAAGAAAAGTTACTCCATCTACAACTGTAAACTGCTGCTGAAGCAATGATGCATTAATAATAACTGCTTAATGATAAAATAGATAATGATATATCAGTCATAGGGGCCAAAAGTACTTTTCCATTTCATAATTTAAGTATATTTTGCTATACTAATACTTCTGTACTTTTAAGAAGGACTTTGAATGTAGGGCATTTGTAGTGGAGTACTTTAATATTGTTTAACTTAAGATCTCTATAAATCATAACACTGTTCAATTTTTCTCATCACAGGCTAAATCTTTCTCTGAGCGGATTGAGGAAACAAACACAAACATTGGTGAGATATTTTATTAGAATTCAAAACTTTGTTAATAACTTTTATTATTCACACAGATTGGTACAGGTATTTTTTTTTACATTTAAATGCTTTATTTGAACAATGTGGATTATCCAGTGGCAAAGCATTTTAAGGAGACACATAGCAGCAGTGATAGTACAGGTCTGGAATGGGTTAAACAATTTATCAGCGTACGCTCAACCAGAGAGAGACATTGTGGATTTTCAAACTTGATGTAAAGGAAACTGATCTCAGACCTTTTATAACTTTAATTTCAACATAGAAAAATGTATGTATATAATGTTATTACCACCTTAAGTTTCATATCGTAAAATCCATGGGAAATAATCCCTGAATCCCATTATTTCCCACCTGTTGACCCAATTACCCAACTGGGATTCATCCCTACATGAATGAATACAAATGTCAGGTTAAATACTGTCTCTTTATTTTGGTTGTTTTGTCCTCTTTGGTCTTCCACGTCACACTGATGGATCTCAGTCGGATCTCGTGATGGGCTCTTTATGGAGGGTGACACTGTTTATGATTCTGAGAGTGAAAGGAACGCCGACCCCTGCACCTCCTACAACTGCAAATGGGACCAGGCCAGTGATGGTCTGGTCTACGTGCCCTACGTCATCGCAAACGACTACAGTGAGTGTCAGATCTTTGCAGTTTTTAGATTTTAGAGTTTACAGTTTTTTTAGAGTGCTGAGCGGAACTTTTCTCTGGACGGCTTAGCTGTTTTCCTTGTTCCGCCTTTATGCAAAGCTAAGCTAAGCTAAGCAGTTATTGGCAGTAATTTCAGATTTAGCGTATAAACATCAAAGTGGTATTGACCTTTTCATTTAACTCTTAACAAGAAAGCCAATACGTTTAGTATTTGATCAGTGGCATGACAGTAGAACGATTGTCCAATTAACCTGAATTATGTAATGATGAGTTTGTTCCAACATTTCCAGCCTCTAGAGAGCGGGCTGTCATTGAACGTGGCCTGCAGTCCTTCCACAGTGTTTCCTGCATTCGATTTGTCCCTCGAGCCAGTGAAAGAGACTACATCCACATCCAGTCTCTGGACGGGTTCGGGCTTTATTTTATGTTTGACTCACTAATGTAGACATAATGACAGACAGAGGTTTCCAATCGTATGTTTTACCACATTTCTGATCAACCCTTTGTGCACTTGTACTTTTTCTACTTGAGGAATCCTTTAGAAATATAAACTCCCAGAAAACCACTTTAGCTGAGCTTAATTAGGTTCTATGGTGCAGTAAATGTTATGGTTTAATCATATCAATGAATGTCTATGAGACATTCAAACTGCCTCATAATAATTACATACAGTAACTACAGCGTATAAGATTGCTAGACTCATGTAATTGAATCTCCATTTGGTGATAGAGTTCATTCTTGAGGAAACAGCTGTTCTTAAAAACAGATTACTTGATCATTTCAAAATGTTAAGCATCCAGATGGTAAAATTGATATTCATTTTAATATTTAATTGATTTAAAGACTTTTCTTAAGTATTTACAATTCCACTTTCAATTGCTTATTTTAATGTGAAACTAATATAACTAACTATGTCCGTCCATACTTAAACACATACATATAATATACACACTGTTGATCTCCCAGGTGCTTCTCCTATGTGGGTCGGCGTTTCAACGAACAGGCTCTGTCTCTGAAGCGACAGGGCTGCCTGTACCATGATGTGGTGCAGCACGAGTTGCTGCACGCTCTGGGCTTTAAACACGAGCAGTGCCGCTCCGACCGAGACCAGCACATCCGCATCCTGTGGGAGAACGTCATACCTGGTGGATGACACCCTGACCTTTTGTCTATTGGTTCCATTGGCTCAAAATTTCCTATCCTAGAATGTATGAAGTATTGTGCCCCTTTATGTAATGAGGAAGAAAGTAATGGTTGTGAGGCTGGGGTGGGTGGGTGTGGGGCACATTTGACCGATCATCCAATATCAACTTTCTGGCCTATGTTCATTGTCCCCAAGATGAACCCAAATAGTTTTGGTGACCATTATACTTTTTTGCAAAGTTCCATGTGAGACAAGATAGGTCAAAATCTGACTGCCAGGAAATTTACTGAACACATTCAAGTGGACAAACCCTTTTATTTTATTGACCCCACTTCCTTTAATTGCATTTGTTATAGCTGGTTTACAATAAACGCTGCCTACTGGTTTGCTAGTGGGAAGCTTACAATGTGAAGCAGCAGCAGCAGGACATACTAACAATTAAATAAGGCTCATATGTGAGGGTATGGACGGGCACATTGGAGGGAGATTGCACTCAAAAGATTCAGTAAGAAGCTACAAAAGTACAGACATGCTTTGTTTGGAGGAGGGGCGTCACAAGTTAGCTGGCTATGGGCACTGTGGAACAAATGTATGTGTTGAAGACTTGGCACTGTGCAGTACAACTAATGTTGAGGAAACATAGCAATACTTACTAGTACTTACTGGTCAATACTAATACAATGCTTTGATTGGTTGCTCTCCTTTGAGGTTGGGAGTATGCCTTCGACAAGATCAACACTCTGAACCAGGGAACCCCCTATGACTACAACTCTGTCATGCAGTACAGCAAGTAAGTACAGAGACCCCAATGTGACCCCAAAAGTTCATTTAATGACATTTCTTCTGCACCATTTAAACCAGGTAGTCTCAGTGTATTCTCCTCCTCAGGGCAGACAGAACCAAGACAAATGAAAATCTGACTTATTTATCTGACTTATTTATGTATTCAGCAATCTGAATCTGACCCACAGTAGCGCAGATACCTGCACCTTATAGCCCCCATCAGCCACTTTCAGAGTATAATGTGTATAATTCCAGGTACGCCTTCTCCAAGAACAACCAGCCCACCATGGT